TGGGCCCCAGACATCCATGTGCACTAGGTCCAGCGGAGCAGCTGCGACGGATGGGGAGGAAGGGTGCGGCTGCTGCCTGAGCTTGCTCTTGGTGCAGTCCAGGCAGGTGGGTGCAGGTGAGTCTGTTGGTGGAGGAAGCGCCGACGAGAGGCCAAGAAGAAGTTTCTTGGAAGCGATGTCGGCAAGTGTACGGAAGTTGGGGTGACCCAAGCGATGGTGGTAGAGGATGGTTGGGTTGGCGAAGCAGCTTGCGCTTGGGAGAGGGCGGCGAGAGGTGCAGGTGAACGCAGCGTGTAGAGCTTGCTACTGTTGAGTGTGAAGCGTGCTAGGAGCTTGTTGGACTTAAGGTCGAAGAGGTCACAGTAATCCGAGTGTGCTGGGAAGATCGTGGTGACGCCTGCCCATTGGAGCTCGTGTTGGGCCACGAGATTGTGGCGTAGTGTGGGAACACACATGCCAGTCACACTGCCCGAAGGAAAAGCTGGGCACGGAACTGTGGAGGAGCCCTTGGCGTGTGTTGTGAAACTGGAGTCTGCTCCAAGTAGACGGATTGGTGTCTCGTATGGCTTGAAGGAGTGTTCTTCCTTGAGAACCGTGTGAGTGGCCCCACTGTCGAGGGTGAACTCTATTGTGGCTGAGGTGCTTTGTGAGCCAGGATACTGCGAAATCGTCTCATTAATCATGGCAGTGCCAGCAACATGTTGAGGCGCACATCAGCAGGTGCAGCCACAGCAGCCTGCACCGATTCCTGCGCTTCGACTTGATTGACTTGGCAAGGAGCACGATTGACCATCCAGCTTGGCGGCTTGGAGGCGGTCCCATTGACGGCATACCACTCGTCATCCTTCTTCTTAAAGCAGGAGGCAAGGCCGTGGTTGGTGCCGCCACACACCTGGCTAGCACGAGGGCCGCGCTTGATGACGTAGGGACACGGGGGGAAGCGGTTGCGCTGGAATGGCACCGAAGCGGCATAGGCTTGAGGCACAGGAGCGCGGATTGCATTGGCCTTGGCTTGAGCGCTGTTGTCCTTTTCGGCAGAAAGGAGCGCGGATGAGACCTTGGCAAATGTGAGGTCTGCAGGAGCAAGGCCCAAGAGCATCTTGCGTGTGACTTTGTATGCCGGAGTGAGGCCGACTAGGAGAGCGGCTGCAGGGGCTTGCTCGGGGAAGACTATCCCCAACTGTTTGAGTTCACCATGAATGGACTGCACCTTGGTGACATAGTCCGCCATGCCTGGCGAGTCCTCGAGCCGCACTTGGAACATGCTGGGGATGAGTATAACAACTCCTACTGCAGTCTTGTTCAGGAAGCGATCTTCGAGGTAGAGCCAAATGGCGTTGGCAGACGAGTAGTTGTGGTAGGTTTTGACGAGTTCGGGAGGAGTGGTGCCCATGAAGACACTAATGACCGCACCATCGGCCTTCTCCCAATTCTTGTACTTGAGCAGTGCAGCAGCATAAACGGCTTCGGCGGTGGCATTAGCTGGATCGGCGGACCTCTCGGGTTTAGGAGGCTCTTTGCCGTCACCGATGTTGAGAAGGACGTCGGTGAGCTCGAGCCCTTCACCTCGCGACTGAGGAGGTGCTTGTCGACACCATAGCGCCAAGCCTTGTAGTTGGAGCATGTACCGTCCAGCTCGAGACGAAGGAGCGGGATCGGGTTGGCGAGTGAAGTGGTTGAGTAAGCCATTGTCGATGTGCAGCGCGGCACTTCTGGAAATTGGTCGACGAGAATTGCTGAAAATCACCCCGACGGCTGTATCAAAATGCCGCTAAGTAGGAAATGGCGTCGGCGAAAATTCGTTAAAACGCCGACTTGAAACTGAATCTGAGCCTATGTCTAACCCCGGACCCACACACCCCCCCACACACCCCCAGGCCCTGTCCCGCAGCTACACAGCTCCGCAACCAGCTCCGCAACCAGCTCCGCAACCAGCTCCGCAACCAGCTCCGCAACCAGCTCCGCAACCAGCTCCGCAACCAGGTCCGCAACCAGCTCCGCTCCGCTTCAACCTGTGTACCTGCTCTTGATTTGACGCAAGACGTTCGTGGAGGCGATTTCGCGAGGGGAGTTCGCCTATTCTGGCGGGGTCTGAGGGGAAACTCGAGAACGAGTTTTAAGAGATGGTCAAAATTGAGATTCGACCAAGGAGAACCGAGGAGGAAATCGACGATGAGAAGCGTGAAAGCTTCAGAGATGAGAAATTCAACGAGGTCGAGCGCGAAGGCGGTCGACGATGAGAGGCGCGACTGCAGAGTGGAGCACGTCGAAATTCCGACGACTCGAAACGAATGTCGCGACGATGAAGTGCTCGTAGCGCAGGCACGTTGAGATTAGGACCTTGATCCGCGTATGCGGATAGGTCGCTCTGATACCATGTAAGAAATAGAGTTGAAATGATTGATTAGGTAAGGAGCCCAAGGCTCTATAAGTACATGGCAAGGTGAGAGTGAATGGATGAAGGGGGAATTGGAGGGAATCCCTATTGGGATCTCCGGAATCTCCAATTGCGTAATTGGAGATTGGGGGAATCACAATTGGGTGAGGTTGGGATTTATAAGTACACCCCAACCCACTAGAACATTCATAACCTAAACTAGGATATAAAAGTACAAATACAAAAGTGGTATTTGCAGTCTATTTCTAACAGTTGCTGCTGCTACTGCTGGTCCAGCGGTGGCACCTGCTGCTGCTGCTGGGACTGCTGCTCGGCGGCACCAGCCCTAGCCCCCTCCTCCACCCCCGCCTCTACTATCACCGCCGTGCCCAGCCCTGGGGCGGCGACCCTTCCCCGGACGGAAATGCGCTGCGGCGGCTGTCTCAGCCACAGCAGCAGAGCCGTCAGAGAAAGTGCACTGAGCGGGTGCACAGCCCTAAAAGATAGTGACCGACAGAGTACCGCTAGACTGGGCGATAGAGCGCTGGGGAAAGTCTTGAGATCAGGAAAGAGCAGGGGCAGGATTAGTTGACCGACGGAGGCAGAGGGGGGGGTGGAATAGCGCGCAACAACTGACTCTAGGAACACCTGCACGGTCCTTACCGACCTAAAGCGGGGACGCTCAGACAGGGGGAGGGCATGACTGATTGCGAGCTGGGTGACAGCGTCACGCGACAACCAGACTGCACGGGCAAGGGCAGTAGCGGCAGCAGACTCACGATCAGCAGACGTGGGGTCGGCGAGCAGATCAGCAGAGGGGGTCAGAGCAGGGGAGCGTATCGTCGATGTGGATGGCCAAGGAGTGGCCGTCCTGCCGCCATCAGGGTCGATGCAGCGGCAGAGAGGTGGTAGGCGGGAAGCAGTGGGGTGTAGTGCTGTGCAGGGCGGTTTAGTGTAGTGCAGGGCGGTGTAGTGCGGCGTAGTGCAGTGCTGGGCGGTGCACGGCGGTGCAGCGCTGTGGGGTGCAAAGCGGCCCGGTGTAGGAGCCGCAGGGGCCGGTTGTGCGACAGGGCTAGCTGGGCGACGGGGCCGGCATGGCGACAGGGTCCGCTGGGCGACGGGGCCGGCTGGGCAACGGGGCCGGGCGGGCGACGGGGTTGGCTGTGCGGAATGGGCCGGCACGGGCCGGCAACGGGACGGCTACGGGCCGGGTTACGGACAGGCCGGCTAGGGGCGCAGGCGCGGGACGGGCCGGACTACGGGACGGGGCCGGCTATTGGCGCGGACGCGGGACGGGCAAGCTAGGGGCGCGAGCGCGGGACGGACCGGGCTACGGGACGGGCCGGCTTCGGGTGCGATCGCGGGACAGGCTGGCTAGGGGTGCAGGCGCGGGACGTGCCGGGCTACGGGACGGGCCGGGCTATGGGACGGGGCCGGCTACAGGCGCGGGCGCGGGACGGGCCGGCTAGGGGCGCGGGCGCGGGACGGGCCAGCTAGGGGCGCGGGGGCGGGACGGGCCGGGCTGCGGGACGAGCCGGGCTACGGGACGGGGCCGGCTACGGGCGCGGGATGGGCGGCTACGGGCGCGGGCGCGGGACGGGCCGAGCTACAGGACAGGGCCGGCTACGGGCGCAGGCGCGGGACGGGCCGGCTACAGGCGCGGGCGCGGGCCGGCTAAGGGGCGCTGGACGGGCCGGCTACGGGCCGGCGTGGGCGGGCGGGCGGGCGGGCAGCTAGTACCTATGGCGGAAGCGCTCGTGGGCGGGTGGGACCTAACCTACTCCTAATACCTTGTTCGAATGATAGAATGACTAGAATGGGTGAGTACAAGGGAATATAACCTAGTGGGTTGTACCCTCTAAGGCACAACCCTACATAGTCTACAATAACATACTAAGATATGTTTGACAGACAGAGCCATCCAAGATTCTCGCTCATCGCCTACAAGGACATCGAGATACAGCAGCCGTTGATTTCCTTGTACGATGGGTCGATCGCACGAGGGACGACGACCTCTGGGTTGTCGCGGCTACGCTCGGCGAATAGAGTTGTTCGGGAGTTTTTACACCGACAACGAGTCCCGAATGTGGGTAGTCTCATCCCGGAAGGGGCGGTGGTGTAAGGAAATCCCTTTTCGTTTTTGGATTTGACTACTGTGCGTACGCCCTCGACTCACGGAATTCCAGGCTCGGCCAACTTCTTCGGTCCCGAACCACTTTGCGAACTCAAGCCTAGACGCATGGCGCTTCCGTAGCTTATGCCAACCGAACCGCCCCAACATGTTCGCGTGGTTCTCGGCTAGCCCTGTTTGTGCCTATAAATGCCCAGGCTCTCATTTGTATCGGCACTCTTCAATTACGACTCCTTTATTACACTGCCTCGTATTACTCTGATTAATCCATAACACTTCTCCGCTGCCTGGCAGCGCGCTGAGTTCATTGCAACATGACTTTTGTGAGACCAGTCCCCATGCCATAGTTGCTTCGCCAGCATTAGTTGCAAATTCCCTTTGTACACTGAAAAGCTATAGCGAAACGGGGTCGCTGGGGCACGCTTAATAACGAATTGAAATGCCAAATCATCAAGCGGTGCAGCCTATTTCCATTTTCTGTGATGCCTTCTTCTCGTCTCGCCAGCTTCCGTGCTGTCGGTAGCCTCCTGAGGACAGGTGGAGGTTAGCCGTCGCTCCCTTACTCGCGACTAAGGTTGCCCTCGTCGCCATGCACGCTCTGCTCGCCATCCCCGACGTGGCAGCCACGTCGCTCGAGCCGCACGTCGCGATGTTGGACGTTCCCCAAGCGCTCACGAATGGAGATTTGCGATCGATCGACCGATTCTCTATCCGTCCCCCTCCCAACGTGACGCCTATTACACGGCAATACCACCGCCACCATCAGTTTGTTGTCGTGCTTCTTGCTCGTCGCGTTGTCTGCTTCTCGCGTTCATCCGCTTTTCCTGTTCGCCTTCCTCAGACGCTCGGCTTCGGGTGAAGTGTTTGTCGAAATCCGTCCGTCCGTCCGTCCGTCCGTCCGTTCGTCCATCCGTCCTTCCGTTCGGCGAACCCTGCGATTTCTTTCGCCAAGCCAAAATCCGCGAGGCGCGGGTTGATTCTGGTGGGGCACCGCGTTGTTATCAAGCGCTGATAATCTCTCGGGGGATTCGGAGCCGAGACTGCTTTGGCGCCATGACTTTCAGTTGGCTCACTCTTCTCGGTCTCGTCGTTCTCTTCATCCTGCTCTCTCCGGGGCTTCTGCTCCAGGTATCGCTGCGTTCATTGGGTTTGCAGGTTTGCTTCCCTTGGGATTGCTTCCCCTGGGATTGCTTCTTTTGGGATTGCTCCCCCTGGGATTTTGTTTTTGCTGGGCTTCTGCTCCAGGTACCGTTCGCGTCAGGGCGTCTGCGCCAGGTGTTGTTTAGAGTGGGTTGCGCAGCTGTCTTGTTCCATGTCGCCCCTCACTGTATGAAGTTGGGTGCGTTGGGTGCTTTTCATGTCTCACTTGGGCTTTGCTTGTTCACCATCCTCCCTTCCACGCCTCCCCGGCTGTTCCCCCCCAGAGGCACCTAACGGGGGCAGTCATTTTGCCAGCAGTATCGTCCTGTGGAGGTCGGAACTGGTGCTTGCAGTGCTGTTTTGGGCATTACTTAGAGCTTCTGTTGATTACGTCCCTGGTTTCTTTTTCCTCCTCCCTCCCCCCTTTCCCCTGCCAACGCCAGATCCCCGGTGACAACCAGCCTATAGAGTTCCGCAACTGGCGCACGTCGCTGGCGTCGGTGCTGGTGCATGCGGTGGTGTTCTTTATCGTGGTGTTGCTGTGTGACGAGTACTTCTCCGCCAGTGCCGCTGGTGGCGGGAAGCACGATTAGGGGAGGTCAAGTTGGTCTGTGGCGGGCGCTTGTGCTGGTGCATGCGGTGGTGCTCTTCATCGTTGTCCTGTTGTGCGACGAGTACTTTTCCGCCAGTGCCGCGTGTGGCGGTGGGAAGAAAGACTAGTGAGGGGAGAGATGGTGAGGGAGGGAGGGTCTGACATCAGTGTGGTGCAATGATGTTTCCCCTCGTCGTTCTGGAGTGTGACATGAGTAATTCTCTCCTAGGGCTACCAGTGGTGGGGGGGGGGGTGCATGACTAGGCTAGTGCTGATGCTGCTGTTCAAGGGGGCAGTCTGAAAATCAGACGGGTTCTTAGAGCTTCGTGTGACCGTCAGACGGATTTATTTTTCTTGTCTTACGATTCAAACGAAATGCAAGCACATGTCAGAGTCTGAATTTCAGACGCCTTTCTTAACGGAGGATTGATTGTAGTGTAGAGAGAAAAAGGTACAAGGGTATAAGCTTAAGTGTTGTACCTGTCAAACATGTGTATTTGTCATGTTTGTATAGACTGTATAGGGTCGCGTCTTAGAGGGTACAACACTTAGGTATATCTGTGTGTACTCTCACTCTATCATCTATTCACTTCTCTAATTTGATATAGCATCACGCGTACGTTAGGATCCCCCCCCACCTACCGCTTCCTCTCGCCCCCCCCCTAGCCCCGTCGTGCCCCTAGCCCCGTCGCGACTCCCCTAGCCCCGTCGCGTCCCTTCCTGGGCCCCGTAGCGCCCTTCCTGGGCCCCGTCGCGCCCCTCCTGGGCCCCGTCGCGCCCATCCTGGGCCCCGTACCGCCCCTCCCAGGCCCCGTCGCGCCCCTCCTGGGCTCCGTAGCGCCCCTCCTGGGCCCCATCGCGCCCCTCCTAGGCCCCGTAGCGCCCCTCCTGGGCCTCGTCGCGCCCCTCCTGGGCTCCGTAGCGCCCCTCCTGGGCCCCGTAGCGCCCCTCCTGGGCCCCGTCGCGCCCTTCCTGGGCCCTGTAGCGCCCCTCCTGGGCCCCGTCGCGCCCCTCCCAGGCCCCGTAGCGCCCCTCCTGGGCTCCGTAGCGCCCCTCCTGGGCCCCGTCGCGCCCCTCCTAGGCCCCGTAGCGCCCCTCCTGGGCCTCGTCGTGCCCCTCCTGGGCCCCGTAGCGCCCCTCCTGGGCCGCGTCGAACCCCCCTCCTGGGCCCCGTCACGCCTTCAGGCCCCGTTGCACCCGCCCGGCTCCGTCGCCCCTTGCCCGGCCCCGTCGCAGCCGCCCAGCCCCGTCGCACCCGTCCGGCCCTGTCGCGCCCGCCCAGCCCCGGTGCGCCCCTCCTGGGCCACCGTCTTGCTCGCCCGGCCCCGTCGCACCGGCCCGGCCCCGTCGAACCGCCCGGCCCCGTCGCACCAGCCCGGCCCCGACGCACCCGCCCGGCCCTATCGCACCAGCCCGGCCCCGTCGCGCCCGCCCGGCCCCGTCGCACCCGCCCGGCCCCGTCGCACCCGCCCGGCCCCGTCGCACCAGCCCGGCCCCGTTGCGCCGCCCCGGCCCGTCGCACCCGCCCGGCCCCGTTGCACCGGCCCGGCCCCTGCGCTCGTCCCTGCCCCGGCCCCGGTCCTCCTCACTGGTGCAGTTCTCCCCCCCCCCCCCCCGCCCTGCACTGCCCTGCACCGTACTGCCCCGCACTGCACCGCCCCGCACCACCCTGTACTGCCTGGCACCGCACTGCACCGCCCTACACCGCACTGCACCGCACTGCGCCGCACTGTACCGCACGGCACCGCACGGCACCGCACTCCACCTTGCTGCACTGCCCTGCACCGCACTGCACTGTTCCTGATGGCGGCGGAGCTTCGCTTCGACGCTGAAGGCCAGGCTCTGGAGTTCGAGGCGTGGCTTGCCGACCTCCGACGCCAACTCACTGGCCAGCGGCAGGATGGTGAACCGCTGTCCGCACACCTTGACGGTACACTCCCCTGCCCAGACCCCCCTGCTGTTCTGCCCGCTGACTCCACACCCACTGAGCGCGAATCTACTGCTGCCACTGCCCGTGCGCGCTCTGTCTGGCTTTCTCGCGATGCTGTCACCCAGCTTGCCATTAGCAACGCCCTTCCCCCATCCGAGCGCCCTCGCTTTAGGTCCCTCACTACTGCTCAGGCTTACTTAGATGCTGTCATCAAGCGCTATTCCACCCATCCGGCTGCCTCGGTGGGTCGCCTGATCCTCCCGATGCTCTTTCCTGACCTTGCGTCTTTCCCCACTGTCTCTGACCTCGCTGCCCACCTGCGCTCGATAGATGACACCTGGCGCGCTGCTTGCACTGACGCACAGCTTAGAGCCCACCAGCCACCCATTACCTCTACCCTTTACCTGCTTGCCACCCGCCTCCCTGACCGCCTTGCTGTCGCCCGCGACCGCTTCCTTAGCATTCACCCCGCAGACCTCACCCTCACTGACTTTGTAGACACCCTGACTGTGATAGAGACCCGTCACCGCTCCATCGCCAGGCGAGCGGTGTCGTGCCGGTCCCTATCTTTCAGGGTTGTGCCCCCGCCCAGTGTACCTTCTCGGACGGCTCTGCCGCAGTGGCTGAGACTGCTGCTGCAGCGCAGTTTCGTTCGGGAAAGGGCCGCCGCCCCAAGGCTGGGCGCGGCGGCGGCGGCGGCGGGGGTGCGGGAGGGGGTCGTGGTGGTGTCAGGTCGTCTAGTGCTGGAGCGGACGAGGGGACCCTCCCCAGTCCAGCTGAGCCGCCGCCCCTGCAGTTGCAGCAGCCGCAGCAGCTGCCGCAGTCGCAGCCTTCGCAGCAGCCGCAGCAGCCGTCGTAGACGCGGCAGACGAGTGTCCTCCCGCCCGCGTGGCCCGGCGCTGGCGGTGGCCGGGCGCGTGGTGGTGTGCCGAGTGGTGGCTCTGGCGGCGGGCGTTGTCAGTACCAGATCCAGACCGGTCCTCGCCGCGGCTTCGTTTGCGGTAAGATCGGTCACTCCACTCCCCGTTGTTTTCGTCGCCTGGACGACCTCTTTCGTCAGCGCTTCGGCCCGGTCGCCAGACCTCTCGGACTGGCACAATTTGCTTAGTCGTAAGATTCAGATTTTTGATATGGACATGGATGCCATTGTTTCTGCTCTGCATGTGATGTATGCTGATGACTCTAGTGTGCTTCCCGCCTATTACTCACTGTTGCCTAGTGTAGGTGTGCCTAGCTTAGCCTCCCCTGCTGCGTCAGGCGTAGGATCTCCTGCTTTGTGTAGTCTTGGTGCTTCCGCCGTCGTTCCGTCGTCAGGCGTAGGATCTCCTGTCGGTCCCTCACTCACCTGACCCTCCTTTGGCACCACCGCCTAGGCCACCCTGCACTCCCGCGTCTCCGTCACATGTCCCAGCACGGTCTTGTCCTTGGTCTCCCAGGTTCCCTCCCCGCGTTTCCCTCCTCCCCAGCCCCACCTTGCACGCCTTGTGTCGAGGGTCGGCTTCGCCGTGCCCCTCACTCCTCCTCGTTTCCCCCTACCGCCGCGCCGCTGCAGACCCTGCACCTGGACGTCTGGGGCCCCGCCCCCGTCCCTGGGCCGCGTCGAGAGCGCTACTTCCTTGTGCTTGTCGACGACTTCACTCGTTACACCACAGTCTTTCCCCTGGAGCGCAAGGCCGACGTGCCTGGAGCTCTCATCCCCTGGCTTGTCTCTGCGCGTGTCCACCGCAGTCTCCCTGTCTTGCGTCTTCACTCAGACCGTGGTGGCGAGTTTGCCTCAGGTGTCCTTGGTCGCTTTTGTCGTGCGGAGGGCATCACCCAGACGTTCACCCTACCAGACTCCCCACAGCAGAATGGGGTCGCTGAGCGACGCATCGGTTTGGTCATGGAGTGGCTCGCACCTCCATGATCCATGCCGGTGCACCCCATTTTCTGTGGCCGTTCGCTGTGCGCTACGCTTCTCACCAGCTTAACTTGTGGCCGCACCCTCAGCAGCCGCAGGTTTCGCCGACCCGTCTTTGGACTGGGTCTCCTGGTGACGCGTCTGCGTTCCACGTCTGGGGCTGCCTTGCTCATGTCCGTGCCTCCGGCACGGACAAGCTCACTGCCCGCACCCTTCCCTGCGTCTTCCTCGGTTTCCCCCTTGACGCGTCCGACTGGCACTTTTACCACCCGCCGTCTCACCGCTTCTTTCACTCTCGTGACGTCACCTTTGACGAGTCTGTCTCCTACTACCGTCGCTTCCCCCACCGTGGTCCCCCGGTTACCCCCCCCCTGTTCCTGGTCACTCCTTCCCCAGTCGTCCCTGCCCCTCCTCCTCCTCCTCCCCATCCCGCCCCCTCTGGTGTGTCCCACGTCACCCCGCTTCCGTCGGTGGACCCGGTTGAGGAGTCTTCTGCCTCTGGTGGCCCTCCTGTTCAGTCCTCGCCGGCCGCCCCTCCCTTAGCGTCCTCTCCCCAGTCCCCCCCTCCACCCCCGCTGCCGCCGCTGCAGCCGTCGTTGTCGCGGCCGCCGCCGCCGCCGCCGTCGCAGCACCCGTTCGCTGACTCTGGGGGTGCTCGTCCCGGTAGCCCTGGGGGTGGTCCCTCCGGGGGTGCTGGTGTGGAGAGTGCCGGTGGTAGCCGAGGAGCAGCTTGCGGTCCAGGTGTCGCCTTGTGCCGCCGCAGCAGCAGTCCCCGCCGGTGTCAGCCCTTCGCCTGCTCGGCCTTCCGTCCCCCGACCCTGCGTCGGTTCCTCCCCGACCGTCTCCTCCTCTTCCTGTCTACGGCCCTGTCTTCCCTCCACCGGACTCGTCCCCTGCCCGGCTCCCCCCTCGTTCCCCTCCTGTGTCCCCTCCTCTGTCTCCTGACCCGACTCCTCCGTCACACGTCTGGTCTCACCGTCCCTCCCGTGCTCGTCTTGCCTCGCCTGTCTTGCGCTCCCACCCTATGTTGCTTCGTTCCCACGCGTCTCGTCCTCCCCTTCTGCCGTCGCCTCCTCCGTCCTCCCTTGTTGTTGCGCCCCCCCCGCTGTCTGACTACCTTCGTGCCGCTCGTCCCCTTGTTCCTCGGGTCCTTGCCTCTCTCGTTACCGACCCGTCTGTTCCGGCCTCGTGCCTTGACGCTCTTGTCGCTGCTGTCGCTGACTTCGCCTCTACCCGCCGCCTTGACTACGCCTCCGCTCTGGTCTCTGACCCTGCCTGTCCTCCGTCTGTCGGGGGTGCTCCTGCCCTTGGCAGTGACGTCCTGGAGGACCGCCAGTTCGAGCTTGATTTCCTGTCCGAGGCTGCTCCCCATCTCTGTTCCATGCTGCTAGTCCCTGAGGGTGACCCAGACGCTTTCGACATCCCGACCCCTCGCACTTACTCTGAGGCGACTTCGGGACCCTGGGCCTCGCAGTGGATAGCTGCCATGGAGCAGGAGATGGCATCTTGGAGATCCACCGGCACCTTCGTCGACGCAGTTCCCCCACCTGGGGTGAACGTAGTCGATGG